ACCCTGGTAACTTCTGTTTGTTCCCGTTTGCAGAAAGCAGTTCTGTACAGGTCCCTCATTTTACTCCCACTTGCCGCACCATCACATTATTTCCCCCTCCTTGTTGATGCCTTCACTGGGGCAAACTGTTTCCCTCAATCCTCTTTGGAATTTTAAAAATCCAGCAGGGAGTGCTTCCTAGTGATCAGAGCTGGGGCCAAGGAGTCAGACCTACTGGGTTCTGTGCCCACCTCTGCTACTTACTTGCTGTGTGACCCTGGGCATGTCACTGCCTCAGTCTCCCTATCTATAAAACGGGAGTGTTGATCCAGATCTTCCTCACAGAGTTGTGAGAGGATTCACTCATTAATGCTTGCGGAGCACATTGAGAGGATTCACTCATTAATGCTTGCGGAGCACATTGAGCTCCTCACATGGGAGAGGGCAGAAAAGGGTGAGGGTTAGAGATTAGTGTCTGCTATATCAGATTACCCCAAAGTCTTACTCCTTTCCAGTGCAAATTAGCCCAATTTCCTCAAACCTTCCTGAAAACTTAAATTCTTTGGACTTGGTGCCTCCTCAACACCCGCCTTTGTGGCAGGGCCATAATCCCCTTGCAGTGGGATTAGGGCCGGAGCCGGATTAACATTTTGTGGGCCTAGCGCCAAACATATTTGTGGGCTCCCATAGGGGCAATGGAGCATGGCGCAGGAAGGTCAGCCCACAGAGCGAGGGGGGCAATGGGGCATGGCATGGCAGGAGTGGCCCCGCTCTGCCCAGCCCAGTGCAGGGCACTATTTACAAACCGGCAGTTGCCAGACACACAGTGGCCTGCCCGGACCTGTGCTGCCAGCGTGCCCCTTCCCCTCGGGGGTGGGCCCATGGCACGCCACACAGCCCCCCCGCCTAACACCCCATAGGTGCTGACTCCGTGGGTGCTCCGGGGCTGGAGCAGCCACAGAAAAAAAATATATAGTGTGGGCTCAGCACCCACCGGCAGCCACGCAAATCAGATCCTCCCCCTCGTCCCCTCCACCTTCTGCCTGCTGCTGATCAGCTGTTCAGCAGGAGGTGCTGGGCGGGGAGGAGCAGGGGCAGAAAGAGGCGGGGGCACTCTGGGGAGAGTGCAGAATGGGGCAGGAAGAGGCGGGGTGGGGGTGGAACGAAGGCAGGAAGAGGTGGGTGGCAGGGCCTCGGGGGAAAGGGTGGAGTGGGGGTGGGGCTTGGCACAGAGCTGGGGGTCAAACACCAATGGGGAAATCAGAGATTCAACACCTCTGCAACACGCCCCCTGACTCCCTATGGCCAGAGGCCCCCCACTCGCCCCCCAACACACACACACACAAATGCAGAGCGCCCTGCACAACCCTGCAGGCTGAGAGGAACAAGTGGTGGACGGGGGCCAGCAAGCGGAGCAGGCCAGGGCCCCTTCTGAGCATGGGCCCGGCTCCATGGTGCCAGTGGCACCATTGTAAACCTAGCACTGAGTGGGATGGGCCCTAGGCCGGCATACAGTATCCCCAGCGGGGTCTCACTAGGGCCTTATCCAGGCCCAGCGTTGCCTCCTTTGCTTTGTGTTGCACCCTTTTGCTAATACAACCCAGTGGGTCTCTTTGCGGTCACCTACTGCTTTTGTTTGATCATCAGAATGATTTTCCCACAGGAACCCCCTGATTCTTGGAGTCTGAGCTCAATGGTTGAACAGTTAGTTTCTAAAACAGTTTGGGGGCTATAGAAAATCTTCCCTCTCCACCCAGCTCTGTGTATACAGGTTGCATTACCTGAGTTAAGGCTCCAGCCACAGGGAACCCATTGCTGACAACAAAATATTTTGAGTCGTTTTTCATGTTATGTATAAATGCATTTTTAAATACAAAGTCTGAGGCCCTTGTGTGCCACAACTTCAGAGCTAATCCTGAAGAATACTTCCTTATTTATTTACTGCTGTGTCACTGGCTAAATGGAACCCTGAACAACATTAACAAGGAAATAAACATGTAACATGGGAGCCATGTTATCAACACACTGCAAGAGCCGAGGATGACGTTCTAGCTCGGAGCTGATGTGGGAGGCATGGGGCCATGTGAACGGCATGATGAGGTCGTCAGCTTGACAGATCTGAAACCGACGGGGATGAAAACATTAAAATTGATCATTGTTGGTGCTGCTTCTTGCATTGCGGTGGTAGCAGAGGCTGGGGGGAGGAGGGATTGATTGACCACCCTCTCCCCCCAAAATGGTATGGCAGCAAAGGGGCCCTTTGGCTGCCTGTAAAGGGAGGGTGCGGGAATTGACAGCTGTGAGGCCCTATGCTTTTTGGAGTAGGAGGCTGAGTTCTAGCCCCACCGTGACCTTGAATCAATACTTACTTTTGTAAAAGAGAAAATTCTTTCTGCAGGATTGATGGATATTTTGTCCAACTAAAAACCATGACAGATGGGTTTTGTTCAAACCTCTATGCTTTTTAAAATTGCATTTACACTTGCTAAACAAGAACTGTGTCTGGAACAAACCTGTCTCCCGCTCTCTTTTCATTTTCTCCTCCTTTGGGTCCTGGGCAGCCACAGGGCTGCTGGGAACCTGTGCCCAATTTAGAATTGGGTCCTGCTCAGATTCTTTGGGTTTATTCTTTTTAACCTAGTTTTTTGCTGTTCAGAAAACAATGCTGCTCTCTACAGAGGAAATGGGAGTTTAGGTTCCTTTTGGTTGAGATATTAAACTCGTGGTCCCTACAGATCCCATAACACATTGCCCAGTGGATTGTACACTGGACTGGGAGTCTGAAATGCTGTGTGGCCTTAGGTAAGCCACTTTCACTCTCTGTGCCTCAGTTTTCCCGGCTGCAAAAGGGGGGATAATACTACTTTTCCTGCTTTGTAAAACCTGTTAGATTTATGGATGAAAAGTGCCCTATAAGAGTTCAGTGTTGTTATCAGTGCTTTTTTTAAAAGCAGTGATGCTAGCCCCTGGCAACAGTGCAGCTCAGATAATTACATTCTGACCAAGTAAAAGTCCTCCTGTTTTACCAGTGAACACTAGTGTTGCCTTCCCTTCCATTCTGAAACTGCTGTTTTCTCTTAAATAGTTGTCATGTCTCTTTCCCCCCCGAAGTGATTGCATTCAGTGGTAAGTGTTGGCACTCTTATGCACTATTGCGTGTTTTATAGTAAAGGGCTTTTGGGATCTATCAGGATGAAAAGTGCTGTAGATATATGACAGCATTCCTAAGATTCTGCCATGAACTGGCTAGTGCACTGTCCTCTACAGATCAAAGCAGGACAGCTCAGCTGTGTGTCATAGGCCCTGTATCTCCTAACTCTTCATGGAGATTCTCTTTTAGCTTAAGTGGTAAGGCCCTATGCTTTGGAGTAGAAGACTCCAAGTTCTATCCCCACTGGCACCCTAAAAATCCAAGTGTCCACAATCTGCAGCAGAACAACAATTATTTTTGCCTTTTCTTTTCTTTTTCAAAGAGATCATCTTCCTAGCTGGAGCTCTGAGCATGTCCTTCTGCTTTACAGTCCCACTCTCTGGATCCCACATTGCAGCCACCACCTACCAGCACAGCAGGATTGGGTTTCGGTTCCTGAACAGCACTGAAGCTGAGGTGCGGAGCTGGCTGAAGGGCAACTGGTGTTTGCCTCCTGCAAAAAGACTAGTCATTCCTGTCTAGTCTTTTTACCTTGTTGATTTACAGAACTTCCTAGTGCTGGCAGCAGGGCAGGGAAGTAGCCAGGACACTTCCTGTTAACCTTTATCCCTTTGCAGTTCTGGCCTTTCATAAGAACGGCCATACTGGGTCAGACCAATGGTCCATCTAGCTCAGTATTCTGTCTTCTGGCAGTGGCTGGTGCCAGATGTTTCGGAGGGAGTGAACAGAACAGGGCAATTATCAAGTGATCCATTCCCTGTCATCCAGTCCCAGCTTCTGGCAGTCATAGGTTTAGAGACACTCAGAGCATGGGGTTATGTCCCTGACCATCTTGGCTAATAGCCATTGATGGACCTATCCTGCATGAGCTTATCTAATTCTTGTTTAACATAGTTACACTTTTGGCTTTCACAAGATCCCCTGGCTACGAGTTCCACAGATTGACCGTGCACTGTGTGAAGAAGTACTTCCTTATGTTTGTTTTAAACCTGCTGCCTATTTATTTCATTGGGTGACCTTTAGTTCTTGTGTTATGAGAAGGGGTAAATAACACTTCCTTATTCACTTTCTCCACACCAGTCATAATTTTATCGACCTTTATCATATCTCCCCCCTCCCCCCCCAAAAGCTTCACACATTTGTTTCATGCCATCTTTGTTTGTCATTATCCTCTTTCCTTACCAGTGTCATCATGTCCTGTGGTTGTCTAATGGAAGATACACTCCTATTCCCAGTGCAATCAAACATTATAGATTCTTTGGGTCAAGGTTCTTCTTTCTGTTGCTGTAAAGTGCCAGGTAAAGGTATGCGGCAAGATACCTATATCTGTGTTACACTAATGGTTCTGGATTACACTATGATGGTTCTGTGATGTGATGCAATGAAGAGGGGGTAGACACCACCAGCACAATGTGAGGAGGGATGAAAGTGACACAGGTTACCCAGGACAGGTGAGAAGGGAGAGAACTACTTAGAAGCCAAGGGAAAGGGAGTGTTGTGTGTACCCTGGAGCAGAGCAGTGGGATGGGCACAGACTGGGAGACCAAGAGAGAAGAGAGGCCTGATGCCAGAAGCAGAGGGACGCCCTCCTAGACATAGGGTCTGAAAGGCTACCCCTCCCTTCCGATAGTGTCTGCTTTAGATAGGAACCCTTCACAAAGATGGCGGCGGGTAGCCCTCAAAAAGACGGCGGCTGTAGTTAGGCGTGCCCCTCACAAAGATGGCAGTTGCGTTCAGGCATGCCCCTCACAAAGATGGCGGCGACTGCCCCTCACAACGGTGGCAGTTGCGTTACGGCATGCCCCTCACAAAGATGGCGGCGACTGCCCCTCACAACGGTGGCAGTTGCGTTACGGCATGCCCCTCACAAAGATGGCAGTTCAGGTGTCGTCCCCGATAGCGGGTTGGTACGTGGCCCGTACCAGTAAAGGGACCGTGCGCATGCGCAGTTGTGGCAAAGCGGAGGAAGATGGTTAAGAAGCGAGAGGGGCTGAGCGTCGCTCAAGAGGTGACAGCCCCTCCCCTCCCCTCCCCTCCCCGGGACAGCTTGGAGCGGGGTCACTGCGGGATAGGCCAGGAGGTGTGCGTTGGGGGGCGAGAAGGGGGCACGGGATGGGAGTGATGTGAGGGATAGGGGGTGAGGCGAGGTGGGAGCTCGCCTAGGGGGCAGGGGCGAGGTGTGGGCGGGGGTGAGGTGAGGCCCAGGGGGAAGAGGGGAGGGGGAGGGGATGAGTGGAGGAAGGGGCGGGGAAGAGGCGAGGTGTGGGGAAGGGGTGAGGTGGGGCCTAGTCTAGGGTGCACGGGCGAGTGGGGAGGTGAGGTGGGGGAAGGGGCGAGGTGTGGGCTGGGAGCAGGGGGTGAGGTGGGGATGCAGGGAGTGGATTGGTATGTGTAAGGGAAAGATCTTCATTGATGGGCTAGCCTGCCCCCCAAATCCATGGGGCCTCTCCTGCGGATTGTAGCTTCAAGAGTATCCCATACCTCTGGGACCATTTCTGCTCTTCCCCTGCAAACTGTGGCCCTGGCTGGTGGTACTGTTTGGAGTTTTTCTGTCCTGCTGATGTCATGTTTCTGCTCTCCAACTTACTCCCTTCTGCCTTGGGTAGGGTTCTCCCTTGGAGGAGGCAGTGGTTTGCAAACACTTTTGGGGAGTGAGATTAAAAATCAATCTCTTCGTAATGAATAGGAGTACTTGTGGCACCTTAGAGACTAACAAATGTATTTGAGCATAAGCTTTGTGAGCTACAGCTCACTTCAAGAAAGTGAGCTGTAGCTCACAAAAGCTTATGCTCAAATAAATTTGTTAGTCTCTAAGGTGCCACTAGTACTCCTTTTCTTTTTGCATATACAGACTAAAACAGCTGATACTCTGAAACCTGTTCCTAATGAATTAAAGAAATAGGCCAGAACCAATCAAATGAGATTCAGTAGAGAGAAATGGGAAGTGGAGACATAATCCAGTGAACACATACAAAACAGAAATACAGGTAGGGCAAAAACATCATTGAAAAGGCTTGTATTGCACTTTTTGTGTGCCACTGTGACCAAAAAAGCAAATGTCTTATTAAGCTCTATTTTTTTTTTATAGGAGTGTTGCGTGTGGTGGTTTTCTGCCCTGTTTAGCCCTATTTAGGCCTTTATTTGAGACAACAGTTATTTCTGGGCACCATGTTTCACTGATAGAATTCAGAGGAGAGCAGTCCTGAATGAAAAAAGGTTTGGACAATAAGCCCTAGCAGAAAGGGTTCAGAGTACTGAGGATGTTTGGTTTGGAGATATGAGAGCCAAGAATAGACATGGTGGTAGTTTCCACCTCCATGAAGGCACATTATAAAGAGGACATGGCCTGATTATACCATCTGATTACAGATTGAGAAGTGATGGAGCTTTAGTTGCAGCAGGGAATTCTGGTTAAATATTGGAGGGTATGAGGAATCTTTTAACTCCAAAGAGTTTGGGTGATGAAACAAGCTGCTTTAGGATGGTGTAAAACCACCTTCGCTGGGGCTGTCAGAGGCTGAGACCTGAAACCTGTCTACCAGAGGGTGGTTTAAGGATATTGACTCAATCCTGCCACAATGATGGGGAAGGGACTAAGTGAGTGTCCCTTCTAACTACAAATGATTCTGTGAAAGGCAATTTTAAAAAAGGGATGAATTTGGTCTCTTTAAGCCAGATGGAGTGGGATCGGAGTCTTTGGTTTGAAATATGTGGACACCTTTCAGATGCATCTTCATCTTCAGCATTTAAACTTTCATTTAACACCACTACCTTCTAAGCCTCGGTGCTTGTGAAGAACACAAAGGCACACTGCCTCAACTAAAAGTGTAATGTCAAGCAGATGCAACTTTGTGTGTGGATGCTCGTGCCAGGTTTAAGCCAATGCAAATATTTGAGCTTGCATCTATAAATTACAGATGCAAACCACATCAATTTTAGCCTGGTTTAAAGGGATGTAACTAGGTCCTCACACAAAGTTGAATCCATTTGACATCATGCCTTTAGTTAAACTGTTTCAACTTCTGTACTTAGACAAGCTCAGGATCTTCCAACAGGCAGTCCCAGTGACAATGCTGCTACTCAGAACTTCCCTGAGCCCTAACAGCAGGAGAAATTAGCAAGACTCTGGCTGGTTTCATGGGCACTGTTCAGAATCTGGTAGGTGGTGGTTTAACTCTGCTTCTGCTTCAGAAAGTTATGAACGGCTGTGGTAGATACAGGAGCTAATTACATAGGGAAGGAAGGACCCCCCCCAATGATGGCAAATAGGTGGGTGGTTGATGCCCTCACTCCCATCTCAGTAGCCATTGGGCTGGGAGAAATAGAGTTGGGCACCCAAATAGTGTGGAGGTCCAAGAGAGAGGTAGCCAAAAGTGATCTGAAAAATAAGTCCCTAGGAGGGGCCTGGGGAAAGCACCCTGGTAGGAATCCTAGCACGCTCCGTTCCCAATGTTTGGAGTAGATAGTGAGGGACTGAGCTGGTGGATCCTACGGCTTCATTCTGTTGTATTGGCCTCTGGCTAGTAGGTGTCTGGTAAATGTTTTCAGCCCTGCTGGATGTACTATCTATTGTTGGTGAAATGATTTGCTGAAATGTAAAATTATTGTAAGACCATAGTGAAAATTGAAATAGGTCTATTAACCAAGAGGTTAGCATGTGAACCTAAACAAATTCAATCTCTGCTGGGCTGATATTAATAATCGAGCCTACAACAATGGATTCAGGAACCATTGACTAACAAATGGAGAGAAATGCCTTGAACCTGTTAGCAGATGACAAGGGACAAGACTGCTTCTCGGAGGTGATTTTCCCCTCAATGCTTTTGTTTGGCTTTGATCTGTTTTATGAGGGTCATGAGACAAAAACCTCATTACCTAACGCTGTTGGATGTTGGCGTATGTGTGATATGGCTGTTTGCCAGCATCTTAATTAGGGGATTCATAAAGACGGAGGGCAGATGTCATTTCTTGAAAAGTGCTTTTAGCCTTTCTGCTAGGAAGAATGCTTTTATTAATTCAATACAAAATGTATTAAAAAAGGATCCAACCCAGCTCTGTAAGCAAAGCTGTTTCTTTCCTTTCCTGCCATGTACGAGAGGTTTTGGACTCCCTTCCCAAGACTGCCTGGGCAAATGAGATTTGTAACAAACATAAAGCCAATTTGGATTGAATCTGCCCCAAATCTCTGTATTTTCAGAGGTCTCCAGATGGCACATGTATGAAGCCAGAATTCAGTGCAAATTACTGTGCCTGGTGGTACCTCTCACGGCAAGGGATTCAGCTGGCTTCAGAATGTTCTGCAGCTTGCTTGTTATGTGCAAAACTGCTGGTCCCTCACCCCAGAGCTCCTTTCATAGCAGTTGATCAGATAGCAGGAGGGCAGTGGCTGTGCAGGTGAAGGGCAGCTGTGCGTGCTCTGATTGCTCTCTCAGTGCTGGTTATTAAACACCTGCTTCAGTTATTACTTTAAAGTGAGACTGCTACTAGTTGAAGCTGATGTTGACTTCAATGAAGTCCTCTGTCTGGCTATGGAACAAATAGAGCTCAGACAGCTATAATGTACACAACATGTGGGAAGCTTATCAGCCCAGTCCTGGAGGGGACCCCCTTTAAGGGCCATGGGGAGTAGGGGAAGGAGTGTGGTCACTGTGACCCATTCACTTCTTGGCAGAGGCTACCAATAAGGAGACCAATTGGTGTGAATTATATTGATGATCCTGTGTCCCACGAGGAACCTGGACCAAGAGTAACTCCTATGCAGCTTCATTTCATACGGGCCTCTGATAAGTCTATGGTTGTACCCTAGCTAACCTCTCCATGCATTCGTTAGTAGGAGCAAATGCTTTCCATTTACAGCAAGTTCAAACACACAGCTGTTTCTAGGAAAGCTCTGTGGAGAGTTGCCCCTGGGGATTTTGTGGAAGCTTTACCGTTTCTCAAGTTCTAAAGTTTTACAGTCTACTGGGCCCTTGGGAGATTCTCTGGCAGCCTTCAGAACAAGGGGTAATTCTCAACTGGGTTGCTTTCATTTCTTCCCCATCACTTATTATATTTTTTTCTTTTCTTTTGCTGGCAGCAAAAGGCCGTGTGGACTGTGCAGCCGGTGAGAAATACACATGCGCAGTGCCAGCTCCTGAGTCAAAAACCCCAAATGAGGCAATGGAGCTGCCATACTAGGATAGCTCATACACACAGCCTTCTGCCCATTTCTACTGCCATTCCTCTGACAATCTCTAAGCCCTTCACAAACAATTAAACCTTCCAATCCCCTCACCCTCGGGAAGTAGGTAGTAGTCCCCCAATTTACAGGTGTTGTCACCTGCCTCCAAGGTAACACAGGGAATCAGTGTTAGGGACAGGAACAGAACCTAGGAATCTTGATTCCAGTCTCTTCTTATACCCACTAACAAGGCAGAAGAACCAGGGAAAAGAAACAAAATGTCCAGAGGAAGGGATTTTGTTCCATCACGAATATTCCCCATTCTCTGTGTTCCTAGTGGAGATTATTTTCACCTGTTTGTGCCCCAGCCTCAACAAAGGGGTCAGCACAGCTCTGGGGAACATAATTTGTTGCTTCTGCAGGAGCCCAACTTTGGTTTTGATGAAATGATAAAAAATAGCTGGAACTTTTTAAACATAACTAAGAGTCTGGAGGATTTTAGTTGGTAGAAAGTCAAAATGTGAGGGAGTGGCACAAAATAAACTCTACTTACATCATATTGAATGGTGAAAGTGGTGAGTGAAGCGTGCACTGAGAGATGGAAAACAAAATGAGAGACATTCTTAAGGAAGAGCCAGTAGTTGGTGGCTTTGAGAGGGGAACGGAGAGCACAGGAAGGAGAAGAGACATTGGGAGGAAATGCTGGCCATGACTGATTAAGCATTGGTGCTAGCTGTTGACTACTCTGTCGTGTTGTTTGTCTAACTAGACTAAGATAAAAGGTGAACATGTTAGCTGGCATGTGTTACGTGTTCTGTCTACACTATGCGTTAACACAAGTTAGTTAAAACACTTTAGGTAACACATTTTAAAAATGCGCCTTTTATCATCCCACTCGACACAAGCTGTTGGAGGGGTTTCTTTGATGAAGTGCTAATAATATAGTTGCTTGTTAAATATGACCACTCACTTCCCCCCAACCCAGGAAATCCAGACCATGTTCCCTGGATCAGTGCAAACTGTGGGCTGTATAGGATCAGGGAAAGCTGGTGTTCTTGCTGCCAGGAGGATCCACACAGTGTTTCATCAATGACAGCAAGGTCCCATCTCTCTGTATCAGTCTGTTGTCTCTAGTGTGGTACACAGATTGTAAGCCCCTTGGGGCAGGGACCATTTTTGGGTCTGTGTTTGTACAGTGGCTGGTCCATGGCTCCTAAATGTTATGGAAATACAAATACTACTACTACTGACTTGGAAACTGCAGTCTGATAAGAAGCTGGGGGGCTTGAATCTCACTGTTATAGGTGCCAAATTATTGTGTGGGGGTGCCAAAGGGATGTCTTGTGGCACCACCCCGCTGGAATTGTTGGGGGTGGGAACAGTGGTTACAAAATCCCACACCAGCCCTTGTGTTCCTGTCCCAGGCAGACCCTACGGTGCAAGAAGAGAAGCCACCTTTGGCCACCAGCTCCACCAAATCATAATTTGTGGCTAGGGGAAAAATTCTACTGCTGGTTCATGGTAGAAGGGGCAAGTGCTGCCTTGACTTCACCAGACTCCCCTGCTGCTGCCCTCTAATGAGCCCACTCAGTTACTGCCCTCATTGCCCTATGCTGAGTCTGGTCAACTGCACCCCTCTGCGTGAGCCTTTCTGTGCTTGCCCTGAGCAGAGTGAGAGAGAATTGTTAATTAGTCCAGGATTGAGTTGTAAGTGGTTAATCAGAGATCAGTGTCATTGATTTTCCTGTGTAATGATTGGTGGTAACATCCTTTCTCACTACCTTGGAAGGTGACGTGGTCTTCGAAAGCCAAGGCAGCTGGGTTTAATTCCACCAGGTTAATTTACACAGAAAACTGCTGTTCCCCAGCTTGCAGGTTCTAAAGTATCTCACCAGGTGAGAGCTAATTCTTCTGGCTGCTTGTCCCTCCTCAGCCCTGCTTCTGCAGCCTGCTGCTCATGCATAGCACAGGGTGTGGTGGAAGATGATTGCAATGGGGCTAGCAATGATTTCAAAGCTAGTTAATGTCAAAGGTCATGTTCTTCGTGGGATTTGCGTGTCACCTTGTCTAATTATCCCGGATATTTCTCCCACTGGACTGCAAGCGTGTAAGGCAGAAGTTTCCCTCTGGAAAGCTTAAAGCCCTGATTGCTGGGTTTGGAATAGCCAGGATTCCCTCCAGAATTGTTCAGCTGTGGTATAATTGATTCCTGGGGGAGTCGTTCCCGAACTCAAGCATGTTGGTCACCTCTGTTTGTGCTTCAGCCATTTGATTTTTTTTCTTCCTCTTTCCTTTCCTCCTCACCCCAGAATAAAGGCAGCTTCTTGGAAAATAAATTAACCTACTAATTAGATGACTAGCTTAAGTAGCTGCAGTAACTTCTTGCTGCACCGTGACTGAACCCAGATGCTTGGTGCAGGATGGCGATCTCTCAGCAGGGCAGAGGCAACGGGGATCCCTTGCTCTACTCTACCAAATATTGGAGACCTCTGTGCTGAGCCTGTTTGTTCATCTGTGGTTCAGGATTTCTATAACTAGTCTGTGCTGGAGGCCATGGAGCTAACAGATTTTAATGAGGAATGTGACATCCGCTGCTCCCTCCCACCCCCCATCACACAGCCAGCCTGAAGTGCCTAATGCTGTCTTAGAATCTTAGCATATCAGGATTGGAAGGGACCTCTGGAGGTCTAGTCCAACCCCGTGCTCAAAGCAGGACCAACACCAACTAAATCATCCCAGCCAGGGCTTTGTCAAGCCTGACCTTAAAAACCTCTAAGGAAGGAGATTCCACCACCTCCCTAGATAACCCATTCCAGTGCTTCACCACCCTCCCAGTGAAAAAGTTTTTCCTAATATCCAACCTAAACCTCCCCCACTGCAACTTGAGACCATTACTCCTTGTTCTGTCATCTGCTACCACTGAGAACAGTCTAGATCCATCCTCTTGGGAACACCTTTCAGGTAGTTGAAAGCAGCTATCAAATACCCCCTCATTCTTCTCTTCTGCAGACGAAATGATCTTGTTTCCCATTAGCGTCCCTCACTGCTTGTTCCCCTTTGCAGCACTAATTCAGGGCCTAGTTCCTGAAGTTCTTGCCAGGATGAACAATCTCTCCCACTTGATCCCCTTCCTCACTGTGTAAACATCCTTAGGTCACTTCTCTGCCCGTGGGTAAAGGGGCAAAGCCAAGGCAAATAAAGGAGAGGGACAGAATGAATGGAGGAGGATCAGATCTTAACAAGAGGCACTGGCCTCTACGGGCTCTTCAGCACTACCCCAGTTACAACTGGAGTTGATAGCCCAAGGATTTAGCACCCCAGCTGTGTGGGATGGAGAAGTACTGAATTCTTACAATGATAAATATCCATGTGCTGTGACGGCTGTGTCCCAACCAACTTACCCACCCGCTCCGCTCAGGCCAGGGAATCGGAGAGCCTCATGAAACCTATAGCTCAGCTGATTTTTAGGAGTGAGGTGGCAAGATACCGCAGTGGGGCTGCCACCCCTTCTCCTGAGCTGGGAAGGCTGGAGCTGCTGGGTTGTGGAGGGAAATCGGATGCCGGTGATGATTGTGGCTGCTGCTGTGTGTTTCAGATTGATGGCCTGGAGGAGAAGCTGTCCCTCTGCAGACAAAGCATGGAGGTGGTGGACCTTAAGCTGCGCAGAGAGGAGCTCAGTCCCGAAGGAAGGTACTGGTGATTCCCCTCTATTCAAACCCAGATAGTGATGCTGCAGGCTGTGTGCTCATGCAAACCACTGACCGTTAGCTTTGTTAGTAGTACCCAGTAAAACCCCTTTGCCAAAAGAACAGGAATTTGCCAGGCTGGGCCCCCTTTTTGGAGCTTGTTTAGGAATGGAGAGAACTGGTTTTCTTTCTCTTCCAGGGAGGTGGGGGGTGACATGGTGAGAGTACTGAGCTTGCCTTCAGCTTCCCTGTTTGCAAACCCTCTGTGCATGCAGCCCAAGCAATGCCCAGTCCAATTTGCCCTGGTCTACACTACGAGTTTAGGTCAAATTTAGCAGCATTAGGTCCATTTAATCCTGCACCCGTCCACACGACCAAGCCTGTTTTGTTGACTTAAAGGGCTCTTAAAATCGATTTCTGTACTCCTCCCCTAGTGCTAAAATTGACCTAGCTGGGTTGAATTTGGCGTAGTGTGGACGCAATTCGATGGTACTGGCCTCCGGGAGCTATCCCAGAGTGCTCCATTGTGACCACTCTGGACAGCACTCTCAACTTGGATGCACTGGCCAGGTAGACAGGAAAAGCCCCGGGAACTTTTGAATTTCATTTCCTGTTTGGCCAGCGTGGCGAGCTGATCAGCACAGGTGACCATGCAGTCCTAGAATCGCAAAAGAGCCCCAGCATGGACCGAACGGGCGGTACTGGATCTGATCGCTGTATGGGGAGAAGAATCCATGCAGGCAGAACTCCATTCCAAAAGACAAAATGCCAGTATATTTGCCAAAATCTCCAAGGGCATGATGGACAGAGGCTATAACAGGGACACACAGCAGTGCCGCGTGAAAGTTAAGGAGCTGAAGCAAGCCTACCAAAAAACAAAGGGTGCAAACGGTTGCTCCGGGTCAGGGCCCCGTACATGCTGCTTCTATGATGAGCTGCATGCAATTCTAGGGGGGGGGGTCCCTACCACTATCCCACCACTGTCCATGAACACTTGCAAGGGGGGAGTCTCACGCAACAGGGATGAGGATTTTGTGAGTGAGGAAGATGAGGAGGAGGAGGTTGAAGATAGCGCACAGCAGGCAAGTGGAGAATCCCTTCTCCCCGGCAGCCAGGAACTGTTTATCACCCTGGAGCCAATACCCTCCCAAGGCGGGCTCCCGGACCATGAAGCCAGAGAAAGCACCTCTGGTGAGTGTACCTTTGTAAATATAATACAGGGTTTAAACGTGTTTAATGATTAATTTGCCCTGAAGACCTGGGATGCATTTGCGGCCAGTATAGCTACTGGAAAAGTCTGTTAACGTATCTGGGGATGGAGCGGAAATCCTCCAGGGACATCTCCATGAAGCTCTCCTGGAGGTACTCTAAAAGCCTTTGCCACGTGGTGGGGGAAGGCCTGTTCATGCTGAGCTGTTTGCGTTTAGCTGAGAGGGATCTTCACTGATACTAGCCACACGGTGGGCTCCCCCTATCATCTCCATCCCAGAAGCTAGCGCAGATAAAAACACACTCGCGATGACATGTTCTCAGAGCTCATGCAGTCCTCCTGCACTGAAAGAGCTCAGCAGAATGCGTGGAGGCAAACAATGGCAGAGAAAAGCGTTAAATGAATGCGCTGAGAGGAGGGAGGAGGAGGCAGGGTGCAATGCTGAGCCTAATGGAGGAGCAAACTGACATGCTCAGGCGTCTGGTGAAGCTGCAGGAAAGGCAGCAGGAGCACAGACCACCGCTGTAGCCCCTGTATAACCTCCTGCCCTCCTCCTCAAGTTCCATATCCTCCTCACCCAGAGGCCCAAGAATGCGGGGAAGAGGCTACGGGCACCCAGCCACTCCACCCCAGAGGAATGCCCGAGCAACAGAAGGCTGGCATTCAATAAGTTTTGAACTGTAGTGTGGCCTTGTCCTTCCCTCCTCACCCACTCCTCCTAGGCTACCTTGCGAGTTTTCCTCCTATTTGTGTGATGAATTAATAAAGAATGCATGATTTTGAAACAATAATGATTTTATTGCCTCTGAAAGCAGTGATTGAAGCGGGGAGGTCAGTTGGCTTACAGGGAAGTAGAGTCAACCAAGGGGGCCAGGTTTTCATCAAGGAGAAACAAACAGAACTGTCACACCGTAGCCTGGCCAGTCATGAAACTGGTTTTCAAAGCTTCTCTGATGTGCAAAGCGCCCAGCTGTGCTCTTCTAACCGCCCTGGTGTCTGGCTGCGCGTAATCGGCTGCCAGGCAATTTGCCTCAACCTCCCACCCTGCCATATACATCTCCCCCTTACTCTCACAGATATTGTGGAGCGCACAGCAAGCAGCAATAACAATGGGAATGTTGGTTTTGCTGAGGTCTAACCTAGTCAGTAAACTGCACCAGCAAGCTTTTAAACATCCAAAAGGCACGTTCTACCACCATTCTGCACTTGCTCAGCCTGTAGTTGAACTTCTCCTTACTACTGTCCAGGGTGCCTGTGTATGGCTTCATGAGCCATGGGAGCAAGGGGTAGGCTGGGTCCCCAAGGATAACTACAGGCATTTCAACATCCCCAACGGTTATTTTCTGGTCTGGGAAGTAAGTCCCTTCCTGCAGTTGTTCAAACAGAACAGAGTTCCTGAAAATGCGAGCGTTATGCATCTTTCCTGGCCATCCCACGGTGATGTCGGTGAAACGTCCCTTGTGATCCACCAGTGCTTGCAGCACCATTGAGAAGTACCCCTTGCGGTTTACATAGTGGCTGCCAAGTTGGTCCGGTCCCAAGACAGGGATATGCATTCCGTCTATCGCCCCACAACAGTTAGGGAATCCCATTGCAGCAAAGCCACCCACTATGACCTGCACATTTCCCAGAGTCACTAACCCTTGAAAGTAGCAGCTCAGCGATTGCGTTGGCTAGGTGGATCACAGCAGCCCCCACAGTAGATTTACCCACTCCAAATTGATTCCCGACTGACCGGTAGCTGTCTGGCGTTGCAAGCTTCCAGAGGGCTATCACCACTCCCTTGTGAACTGTGAGAGCTGCTCTCATCTTGGTATTCTTGCGCTTCAGGGCAGGGGAAAGCAAGTCAAAGTTCCATGAAAGTGCCCTTACACATACGAAAGTTTCGCAGCCACTGGGAATCATCCCAGACCTGCAACACTATGCTGTCCCACCAGTCTGTGCTTGTTTCCCGGGCCCAGAATCGGCTTTCCACGGCATGAACCTTCCCCATTACCACGATGTCCAAATTTCCAGGGCCCGTGCTTTGAGAGAAGTCTGTGTCCATGTCCCCATCACTGTCGTGATCACGCTGCCGTCGCATCCTCGCCTGCTTTTGCAGGTTGTGCACGTACTGCAGGATAATGCGCGAGGTTTTTGCAATGCCGATAACAGCAGCGGAGATCTGAGCGGGCTCCATGCTTGCCGTGGTATGGCGTCTGCAGGAGAGCAGAGTTGCAACGGAAGCGGTGGATGACGACGGATGCCACGAGAATAGATATTTATACAGAACGACGAGAGGACCCACAAGGTGGATTCATGGCACCAGGAGAGCGTGGAAGTGGTGGATGACGGTGGTTAGCAGTCCTACTGCACCGTCTCTGCTGACAGCAGTATGGCGTCTCCACGGAAAAAAGATGTGAAATTATTGTCTGCTGTTGCTTTCATGGAGGGAGGGGCAACTGACAACATGTACCCAAAACCACCCGCGACAATGTTTTTGCCCTATCAGGCATTGGGAGCTCAACCCAGAATTCCAATGGGCAGCGGAAACTGCGAGAGAGCTACTCACAGTGCAACGCTCCGAAAGTCGACGCTAGCCACGGCACTGTGGAGGCACTCTGCCGACTTAATGCACTTAGTGGGGACACACACGATTGACTGTATAAAATTGCTTCCTAAAAATCAACTTCTATAAATTCAACCTAATTTCGTAGTGTAGACATACCCTCAGTTTCCAGAGTTTGGACCCCAGCACTGATAGGAAACAGCTGTGTGAGCTGGACAGATGTTCTGGGTAGCAGCGTGCAACTGATCTTGCCTAGCCCACCTGAGCTCAGAGGTGCAGTAACTAGTGTGTGCTAAATATTCAAAGCACCCTAAGCCAAATCCTAGGTGGAATCCAGTCAGAATAATCCCAAGGGGACTGAATTTTGACTCCATCCACCATGATATGTTTGCATGGGGACCTGGTTGCAACAGGCATCCTGGTGATAGCCTAGAGTGGACCTAACTATGTCTCTCAACAGTGCAGTGAGATGGTTAGTTTCCATTTCCACTCCCCAATGGAACCTTGCTGTAATTTGGTCCTGCTAACCCTAGTAGTGCTATCGGCAGAGCCTTTCCCTGAATGTGATCACCCAGCCTCAGCCATGTCCCGGCTGAGACCTGTTTCTTCCATTTGTTAGCAGCCTATTGCTCCCCTCCTAACAGAGAAAGTGAGCCATCAAGTCTAGGCACAGGAAGAGAGCAGCCCACCAACTAGATCCTGTCAGCCCATTGTTCCATCTAATTTATTCTCCAGAGCTCAGCCCAGTTCTAGGTGTCCCAAGCAATGTGCTTTTACCACTTCCCTTGAGAAACTCTTTCAGACTTGCCATTAAGTTCTTCTATTCAGCCTAAATGTTCCTGGGCTTGGTTTCGCCCCATAACTCCTAGTTTTCCCCCATAGGTTATCATGCTCAATTTCTCTCCTTTCTCAGAGTTTTCTGTCTCCTCTCTCCCCACTTTTTCAGTCTTTATCTCTCAAAATTCTTTTTGTCCTGAGTTAAACTCTTCCTTGTATGTCACATCACCCAGCACCTTCTATGCCCTCCCTCAAGTTACGTCAGTCTCTTTCTGTTAATGATGTGACCAGAAGCCCCAACCTTACAGTGACCCACTGACTATCTCCCCTGCCCTCAAATTCAATGTATTGCCACTTATCGTTACCCTGAGTTCAGCCTTTCAGCCAGTTCCCAATCCATGTGATAAGGCTCCTGTCCTTAGAACAAATTTGTCAGGAGAGGTGCCCAGGTCTGTGACATCCAGTCAGTCTTCTGCCAAGGAAGTGACCAAGCTTGGCCGCTCATGCTTCTGCTAATGTCTAGCTATCTCCAGATTTTTTTTTTTTACTGTTTGTCCCATGAGGGAAGCTATTGACCTGGTGAGCCTAAATCACTGGGATAGGTCTGCTTTCCAATTTTGCTCTCCGCACCCTCCAAATAAAGCCTGACTGGATTCATAGTAAGTTTAGTGTCTCATTGCCTGGGCTCCGTGTCATTCAGTCCTGCGGAGCTGCATGTGTTCAGCTTGGCCATGCTTTTTAAACCGTCTCATTTCCTTCCTAAGCATGAGAGCCTTTCCCCTTGATTTCTCTAGCTAGGCAGGCTTGTAAGCAGGGATACAGCAGCTCAGCTACTTTGGAATCTGCACTCTGCATTTCCTTTTCCCCAGTGTATTTCAGAGTCCTTCTTTTCCTCTCCTGCTATTAATGCACCCTGCTTTATTACAGCCCTTCTCTCTTCCCTTAATGAACTGTACCATAAGGCTTGGATCCAGCTGAAATACAAGTGCCTGCTTTACCCTAAAGGGCAACAAACTGCCCTCTGACACAATGCCACAGGGCCTCCCTGGAGCAGGGAGATAGATAATTTGTTGTGTGTTTGTTCACCCCCCCCCACCCCGAGCTGCTGCAGCTTTCAGGCCTTTAAATTGTGGATTAATCAATCATTGTGCAGATGAATATACAGGGTTTTCAATCACCCTGAATTGTGTGATACAGCTGGTTCTTACTGCAATCAGACAGCTCCTTTGCCTGAGCCATTGGGGAGTTTGTGCAAAATGGGGGCCTTGGAAGCAAAGTGAAGAATGTTTCAATCTTTGGCTCTGAAATGTGGGAACAACATGGGGCCTGTGATCTGGTGAGCAGAGTCAGGGAGTTCTCTTCCAGACTCTGTACCAAGGCAATTCCCTCCTTTTCAGGGTGATGGGAGAGGGGCACTGTGAGGCTTCATGTGTGCGAGACCATCTGTGAAAGTGCAGAAGCTTATTTGTATCCAGGGGTGTTTTGACAGGCCTGAGCCTCCACATGCCCTATTCCCAGGGCCAGGTGCTACTTTTGTTTGCTTTCCCAGAGCATTCTGAACAGCCCAGCCTGTGGGCATTTTCCTCACTGGATCAGAAGAGCTCATGTCTTCCCTGGGGAAGCCAGAGCTGCAGGGATGTGATCACCCACTGTACGAGGCCCTGCCTGTTCTTGGAGCGGACATCAGAGCCTCTTGCTCCAGAGGGAGCAGCTATCCCAGTTACTTGGAAAGGCATTTCCCCTGTGTCAGGTGGGAGTTGCTTTTTAGCCAACCCTGCAGGACTGTCCTAGTGTTCAAACAGGCTGCCCTGAAGTGGGAGTCTTAGCTACCATTCATGCACAGCAGTCTCCAGGGAGGAAGACTTCTAACCCTTTGGACCCTCCCCTTCTGCAGTAAGGGGATGACAAGCTGCCAGCCCCCCCAGGAGAATGGTGGAGGGTCTCATTTTGTGTACAGCCCAGAACTCCTCTTTTGGGGCAGAGGCTTTCCACCACCCTACTGCAGAGCAATAGCATCTGCCAGTGTGTAACAAGGCTGCATCTTCTCATTACAGAAAGTCACTGGAGAGAGAGAGAAGCCTGCTCCTGACCAAAGCTGAAACCTATGGTAAGGCCATCTTTCAATCTAGCCACTCAGAGCGAGCAGCAGCTGGGCAGGATAAGTGCAGTGCAGACTGTGGTCAGCTTCCCATTTAAACTCCTGCCCCACTCTCTGATTTGCCTTGGAGCTTGGGCTCAGCCAAAAAGGGACTTGGAGGGAGAAGTTGAGGCAGATCTATTCAGCTGCTTTTAATCTGAGAGCAGGCACCTGCTCAGGTATCCCATAGCAGGGACCAGCCTGAGGCCCGTTAAAGGGGTCTGGCTTTGCAGGAAGTGCTGCACACCTGCCCTCTGGAAACCAGACTCCTTTAAGGCCATCTCAAGTTGGGGACCTAAGAGCACTCGTGTCTCTTGAAAGTCTTGGCCAGCAAATTGGCCTCCCCCTGTCTCAGCCCGAGAGTCACCACAAAGGTTCAAAAAATAAAATTCAGTGCACCTGAAACCTCATCCAAATGCACAGTAGAAAACCATCCGGCAGGCTTCTACTCACATGAGTGTCTGCCCCATCTCTAGTGGCTCAGGCCCCAGGCTGTCCCTGGAGGGCACATCAGTCTGCACTGATGCAGCTGGAGTTCCTCAAGGCCAGAGCCAGCTCGGGGAAGGCTGAGCATCCTGCCCTCCCCATCCTATACCCATCCCCCCAATGGACTCATGTGAATGTGGCGTAGCCAGAGTCCCTCTCAAGTACTCTAGGCATGCACCATGGGTCAGCTGCTGGACTCCTTCCCCCCAATCACCAGCTTTATATGTGGTGCAGTCCCCTGCACTTTCTGTTCCAATCTCCAGCCAGGAAGTGTGTTTTCCTCCCTCTCTCTTCTGGGTGTCCTGCACAGGAACTGTGTGGCATTAGGCTGCCCCCTGCTGGCAGAATTGAGGTTTTTTTGTAGCCACACAACTCTTAAACTTTTCCCCTCATCAGGTTCTGACACAAGGCTTAGTTAGATTCATTGGAGTCTTACCTGAGGCCTGCGGGCCTGATCCTGAAAGGGGGCTGCATGCCCTCCCTGCTCCTTGACATCAGTGGTAACTGGGGACACTTATTCCCTTGCAGTGCCAGGGTCTGCCTGTAGCATCCTGTGCAGGGATGTTGGAATTGCTGAGCAGAGTTGCTGTGGTTGCATTAGTCAGCGCCCACTGCTCCTAGTTCCTCCCCGGGCAGAGGCATCAGTAGATGATTCCTGAGGCTCTGCTGCTGCATCACTGAGATTGATCCTCAACGGGTTTGTCCGCCATGTCGATCCAGACTCCTTGAAGTGAGTGAATGTGTGGGGCTTTCCCAGAGTGAGGGAGCTCCTGGCAGCGTTCCCTCATTGACACAGCAGCTTATCTGTGCAGTCCCCAGGGCACAGGCGGGTGTCAGCCATGCAGACAGGAAAGCTGCATAGAAAGCTGCCATGTGTCTTGTGCTGAGTACTGTACCCAGCACAAGGGGGCCTTGAGTTTTGATGCCTCCTCCTCTCCCCACTCTGCAACTTCCGTCTGAATAACTAGGCTGGGCTCAGTAAAGCCCGAGGTAAGGTTTACAACCTGTCGAAGGAAGGAAGAGACCAAGCTTTGTCTTCAGCCCAGGCAGCAGCAAGGATTGGCCTATCACCCACTTCGAGCAGGGTGTGGGATGCTGGCAGCAGCTGGGATATTGTGGAACTAACAGGCAAACCCTTTTCTAGATTAGCCCTTCCCCTGTCTTCAGGACACATCTGACAGAGCTCCGGATCCACAAACTGTCACCAAGCCGAGGGCAATTGGAGGGGACGCAGTGCGCTGAGCAAGTGGGGCTTGTGGGAGTTGAGAATTAGGACTCAGCCATGGGGTAGAGCTCATTACTCATTGTTACAGTAAGATTGCAGGGGGGGTCATGTGGGTAAAGCAGATTCAGACAGACCTGCTGCTGCACTCAGAACAAACAGCATCACCAATGAGCCCCTTAACAAGTAAGCACTTCTCGTAGTTTAACCTCCCCTTGTGAAGTCAGCTAGCAGCACAATGGTCCCTAAATAGACTGGATTCCCTGGGGCTGTTCAGCAGGGTGTATGCAGCAGACCCAGTGCCACACTAAACACCCCTGCAAAGAGCTGAAATCCTGCTCTAGGAACCCATCACAGGGTAGGGGCTTGCCTGTCAAATGCTAATAGCTTACAGCTGCTTCAGAAAAATCCTGCAGGGGAGAGGACAGGACTGGCCTAGAGAGAACTTGGATCTAGTAAAGCAGAGAATCAGTATTCAGGACTCCTGGGTTCTGTGCTCTGCACTCTTGGCAGCCACCTACTGACCCTGCCCCTCAGTCCCCCTTTGTCAGACAGGGCAGTGATCCCCACCCATCTTCACAAAGCATGTTGAGATCTCAGGCTGCGTGGCACAAAATTAGCGTTGATCAGAATTCAAATGCTCCTTCAGACAAGTGCACTAGGCTCTGAACTACCATGTGTGCTGCCTATCTATCTTGCACTGCCAAACTCCTTTCCCAGCCCACAGGGGTTATCCATCTGGAATCAGCAGTGTCGAGCAGGGAGGGATGGATCTGTACTAGTGAAGTGCCAAGGAACTGTTCAAAGGTGATACAATGTAAAGATCATTAACTGCTTCTGCACAGGCCACAATGCCTATTTTGTAGGAGACAGCAAGAGACACCTATTAGAGCAGCTGACTGTATGTGCGGCTGCCAGAGCTTGAGATGTGTACGGAGTTGTGTCCCAGGTCCTGATTCAGATGGTCACAGGGAAGAGTCAGGAGCCCAGCTGGGGCAGTGACACAAAGAGGTGGTGTTGGTTTTATTTCCCATGTGAAGTTAGTTAGTGGCTGGTGACAGGTGCTAGACAGTGTCCTGCAGAGATCCATGTACAGAACAGGTACAGCACTGACAGCTGTCTTTATAACCACCCTCCCACACCCTTCTCCAGAAAATGAGGGAGGCATTCTATCTCCAGAGCCCATTCAGGCCTTGGCCTTCAACAAGGGGTGATTTGTACAATGAGGCTACCTAGCCAGCAGTAGGAATTGGACTGAGGCCAAACCCCTATTAGCGGATACCTTTCAGACACTACTGAACTGGGCGGGAGGCCTCTCTCTGATCTTGTGCCTGTCCAGTCCCTCACAACGAGGGGCAGTTTGAGTAGCAGAGCTCTGCATGTTTACAAGGAACTAGACTAGAGCAAAGCACCTGGCAGGTCGCAGCAGTTGGATGAAGCTGATCCTTGCAAGGAGTTTCCCTCCATGAGTGAGGAAAAGGGGGTTTGCTGTTCCTTGGAGCAACAGGTGGCAGCTATGAGGCAGGAGGGGAAGCGGCATCTTATATGCTGGTTTGGTTTTGTTTTCCAGAGAAAGAACTGAAAGTGCTCCGTAAGGAAAATCGCAAGAATGCAGCCATTGCAATGGCCATAGTACTGTTGATTATTGTTGTTTACACCTGCTGGACAATGTAATCACGGTTCTCACGACTGACCACAGGGCCCCACTGCAAAGACCTCTTCCTTCAACTGATGTGCCTCCCACCCAAGGGCCTGGTCAGCTTTTCAAACCGTTAGTCACCTGCAGTCTTCACAGCCTGGACAGCCTTATCTCTGGCAGCTGAGGATCTTGAAGGCAAAGGGAAGCTACAGACACAGAACAAGTGGGTTTGGAGAGCAGACAAGTTCAGCTGGAGCCGTCTCCTCCACACACTGTCCTGGGGGGCCCATGGAACAGAGAATGCAAATTAATTTCAGGGGGATGAATGACCCAAGTTCCCCTTTTCCTAGTGGGCTCTCTCTGTTCCTTGCTGCTCACTACAAGGTTTTGGAGCCTGAAATCATCACTGCTCAGCCCAGTCAGAACCTGGGAAAGCTTCCCTCTTACTGTACTTCAACCCTGAGCTGAAGGGACCAATCTCTAGAGCTCAAAGGGGCATTCAGTCATTGTGCCTCTCTCCTGTGATTGCCAAAAATCCCCATGTGTAGTAAAGTGCCAGTTACAGGGACACTTTTCAAAATATCTTCCCGCTAACCTGTCGGGAGCCAGAGGAGTCACTACCTGAAAATGGGGTCTTGGGGGTGGTGTTTTCCTGCTGCTCAGCCAAATGAACTAAGAGGGCAGGAAGAGAATAGCAGTTCCTACCCCTGGGTGTTGGTGTGTATCTATGTACAGCCCCCTTGAGGCAGGGCCCAGCAAAGGGAACTGCCGTTTCAGAGGGATAGTTCTGGGACATCAAGGATCAAAACTCATTGACTTAATGGCAGGGGCACTCTGAACTCAGGGCTGAAGCTGTATTGTTTTTTAAATAAAGTCCTTTGAACATACGAAAGAGCAAATGCATCTGCCTGTAGCCTTCCCCTGCCTGTGCACTTCCTGCAGCTGGAAATCTCACCAGTCAGCAACCAGATGGCTAGTATGAGGCCCTTCCCTCAAGGCTGTGTCGGCCTGGCTGTAACACCATGACTTCAGAATGCACCATCCCATCCGTTCCAACATGGCAGGGAATATTCTAGTCATCAGTGGGCAGAATCCTAATGATTTTGCTGAAAATCAGAACAAACAAATGGGGCTACATTGAGCCCTTGACATCTGGTTAGCAGAACTACCAGCTTCAACCACCTGTAACTGTTTATAGAGCAAAGAATTGGTTGATGGCAGCTATTAACACATACCAGTAAAACAACACCCCTCATTTTAGCTCTGCCCAGCCTCCCAATATGGTTTAAAAACATCTCTACTCTGAAAGAGGAGGGGGCACACGGAGCACCTGGCATGGGGGTAATAAGGGGTGGGTTACAGCAAGTCCCTGAAATAGAGGAGTATGGGAGGGTGGTGCACAGGTAACTTGTGGGGTAGAATGGATGGGCACAAGGAGTCCTTCGGCCATGCACAGCCTCCCCCTCCCCCCCCCAAGTTTTGTGTTCCCCATGGTTTTAGGAAACACAGACCAAAGAGCATCAACACCTTTGTGAACTAAAGAGCTGTACTGGTAATACACAGACAATGAAAGCAGAGAAATCAACACAAAATGATACACAGCTTAATACAATACATTGTGCAATCAACAGACGTAAACATTCCCTTCAGCAAGACATTCCTCCTCCTCCCCCTGGAGCCAGTGGGAGAGCACAACTTGGGTCAGCCCCTAGCCCTAGGCCAAGTTTTCTACCATCCCTTTGATACTAAGGCATTCCCTGCCCCACATGATCAGACTGAACCCCCTTCCACTCCCCCCACACTAGGGATGAGCAGCTCTGACGCACACAAAGCAGGGTACGTACAGGGCTTTGTCCTCTGGGTTCCTGGCCTTTCAACTCCGATCAGATCCTTTTGGGCATTTCAAAGCAAGCCACGGGTTCCCGAGCCCGGAGGAGCAATGGGGGATAGGAGAGTCTTGAACCAGAGAGGGAAGAGGGATAAAACCTTTTCCCTGCAGCAGGGAAGCAGTAGTGAGGTGCTGGTGCTTCCCTCCCACAAGAGGGTGGGAGGTGTGGTTCAGTGCATCCAAAAAATACATCTCCTTGTAAAAAATACAATCGACTAAAAGCAAAGGAAACTGGGGCAATGGGGAAAGCAGGCAGCATCTCTCAAACCGCCTGCAAGCAATTGGGTTTCTTCTGCACCCTGGGTTTTCAGGACCAGGTAAAGGCTAATGGAGGCCTAGATTATCCATGGTGTATTCCCTGCGGGACATCTCCATCCCCACAAACAGGGAGGGGCCAAGGCCCTCAGTGGGGGACACACCCTTGAGGCTGCAGAAGACACAGTAAAGGACCACAGGAAAAGGAACAGGCTCCAAGGTGGCCTGTTGGCTTCTTGCTGGCATCATGGCTGCCTTGGGGGGTTGGGGAAATCAGCAGAAGCACCAACACTTAAATACATGGTTTTAAAAGCCGACAGTGTGAAGGCTCCGAAGTGAAGCTACTGGAGGCACCTTCTTCCCCATTGCTCCTCATGGAGGGGCCTTCAATAAATATAAAGTAGCCAATAATTAGCTGCATGGGGGGGCTGCTGCCCTCTCCAGGAGAAAGGCTGCTCTTAGGCCAGGTGCCACATTCTGCCAAGGCTTTGGAGCACCTGGGACTAAATTCTGCTAAGGGATTTGAGTCAGAGCCACATCCTGCTCTTGGATGGATTGGCAAACCTTCCCCTTGGCTGCTACAGGGCACAGGGAAAGTAGGTCTGACACTTCCTCAGCCACCTTTCTGGAAAGGCCACACACCCTGAGCTTGCAGGAGGCAGTATTCTAAATACGCCAGGTCTCTTCTGGGTTCAATAGGGGGATACCCAAATACAATATGGGCTCCCACCATCCTCCAAAGTTGAGAGCTTAGTCTCCCCGTGCAATGACGCTCCAAGGACAGCATTAGCCCAAGGCTGGGCAAGCTGTGACAATCCCCGTTCTGCAGCCATCAAGCCTGAACATGCGGATCCACGTTACAAGGCACAGCAAAGAAACCACCCATGGTTAAACTCATTCACACCAAGCAATTGGGGGATTAACAGACAGATGCCTGGCCACCAACTGATCCTGCAGACGCGGAAGGCTGCGCGCTCGGAAAGCAAGGCGTATGAGCTCAGGGTGAAAGTCACCCTGTGCATCACTTGAGCCCTATGAGGCTCACAGATCTTAAGTGATGCCCAGTCCTTGCGCTGCCCCTGGTTGCGAGATGAATCTCACCCACCAACTTCTACTTCCGCCAGAGCTGAACTCTCCACGTCCTAGGATACAGACCCATTCACATCCTGCATTGGCATGGGGAGGATGGAGGGGGGATGAGAATCTGAAAGGCTGCCTCTAGTTTCCAGGAGACCCACAGCTTTCTTTAAGGCACGGTCCAGGTAACCCCCCAGTCAGCTTTTCCCTTATTGCCAACCTGTGTAAGAAAAAATAAGTGACTTTGCTGCATGGACCAGAGCAGCCAACTGCCTATTAACTTCTGGTCCAGTGGGAGAACAGGCCAGAGGCGTTTCTGAAGCCCAGCACGAAGTTAAAACAGGCAATGAGGGCAGCCCTGTCCTTTGCGGGGGCTTTGTGTACATGACGTGTAGAGGGCCCAGCACAGAAATGAGTCATGATTTCTGACTGCGATCTGCTGAAACACTGATGTCCTGCTTGCCATCCTAGAGAGTCCCAGGTTTGTGCCTTCGCTACAGACATGGCTCCAGCTCTGGACCAGACACGGGGAAGGGGGGTGTTCAAAGCCTGTTTTAACCAGGAAAGATGGGTTTCCCCTACAACGGGCCTGGTCGTGGGATTGGATTTGACTAACCAGCATGGTCAGAGTCAACGTCTCCTTCCCACATGACAAGACAAGGACTTTCACAATCTCCTGTGAAAAACTCCTACACCCAAAGGCCTGCAGCCTTCCCCCTTTTTCTTTCATCCCTGAACACAGAGGGAGGGCCATTGTTAAAGGGAAACTGAGGATGGTTTTGAGCACTGAAAAAGGCAAAACATCTCAGCATTGTCCTAGGGCAGATTCATGAGCTCACACCTAGGCTGCTGGCTTGGAGTTAGGGACCTCCTGCCACGAGGACTGACTCCCTTCCACCGAGATCCTAGCATCCAGGAACTCCCGACAACCTGCCAAGTGCCTCTGGAGTGGAAGTGCTGGAGCCACTAGCAAAAAGTGACCATCCTCGCATGCCAAGAGCCTGCATTTCCCGATGAGTCACCCAGCGTTCAGCAAAGGCCCATCGGCTTGAGGCAAAGGAGACAGAGGTGGCTGCTGGCAGCACTGCAAGGCCATTTAAATGCACTCTCCCCCAGCTCATTCCTCCTTGCAGTCCTGTGACCATCCTCCTTTCCTCTTGGTGCTTCCAGGGAACCATACGCAGCCTCCTAATCGCTCCGGCACATGCAGGAGGGGAACCCAGAGAGCAGACGCCTGGCTGTAGTTTGGAGCACTAGGGGGGAAAGCTGCCAGCCCCTCATCCCCAGGAGTGCAGTGGGATAGTACAGAAGAGCATCGGACTTCGGCTCCAGGCATCCCACCTCCGAGGCACCCACAGCTGTGCTGCCTGGGCCAGATACTTATATACACTGCTACTCACAGGCTGGAGCTTTGTTCCACTTCTTCTGAGCATCAAACCCCACCCCCCACCCCCCAGGAATCATTCTCCTCCACAGAAGGCTGCAGCTCCTGGATGAAAGACTCCCTTTTCCTGTCTCAGTCTCCCCGCTCCAGTCAGTCCCCCACGATTCCAAGCTGGGGGGTCAGGGGTAGTGCGCCTGGATGAAGGACAGGACTTCCTCCTTCGACAGCTTCTCGGGATCTTGCCTTTTCTGGGAGTCGTGCACTTTGACGCCTTCCCCCCACTCCCAGAAGAGACGGCTGAAGTAGCAGATGCTGCAGGCAGAAAGAGGAGGCAGACAGATCAGCACAGCAAACACTGAGAAGGGATGCACTCAGCATAGGCTGCAGAGACTCTTTAGAGACAGCTGGCCTGGGACCACACACGACATGATTCGAGGGGGTAGCGTCAAGGAGGCCCAGGTTATTTGTTTTATCTACCCCGAGGGTTCTTCACATTTTTCTCTGCCCCAACTCCTAACTTTGGCTCTGCAGTGCCGTGCCCCACCTGCGTCGTCGGCCGCAGAGGCTGAACCAAGGATCTCTGGATCTAACCTTGAGTGTCTACCCCCTGTGCTGAAACACCCAGTTCCGTCAGCAAAGGCTGTTGTAGGCTCATCCACTTCGGTTTGTGGCCAGCCACACGAGACGGGGCAGCACCACACCAAGTAGGTGTAGGCTACAGCTAGTAAGAATAGCCATCATTTTGTAGGGCCTACTCAAACAAGCATGTGCTGACACAAACCCAGACACCCCAACATGGCATATAAACTGAAGCGTGTTCCATGGAAACGGCCCTGTTAGTTGCAGCTCTGGTCAAAGCAGCAGGAGGGACGAATCAATGTCCGCTGAGACCAGGAACAATCAGTTAGGGAAACTATGTTTTTCAAGTTCCTGAGAGGGTGAAGCAAACAAAGTAATTTCATTAAAGACTCCAGAAAGGCCTGAACGGAGCACTTGGAAGGGTCAGCGGGCAGAATGGACACAGCAGGGTCTAAGCACTCAGCACACTATGGATATAGCAGGGGTGGGGGAGCAAACTAACCCCCACTTTGCCAACATGGGCCACAAGTACTCCTTTTCTTTTTGCAGATACAGACTAACACGGCTGCTACTCTGAAATCTGGAGATACAGTGACTCTCCAGAAATCCGGCCCTCGACTCTTCCCTGAGCATAGACTCTCCCTGCCCCATCTGGCTATTAGTCACCCAGTGTGAAACCAGAGCTGCTAATTGCTGCAGACACAGCAGC